TCACCATTATGCAATGGAAAATTGCAACCAGTACAGCACCGGTCATGACCCCCAGAAATCCGACAAAAAGAGGGGTGATTTCGAGTGCCCAATGATGATTTTGAACGTCCATTGGAAGAAGATTTAGTGAGTTTCTTAGAAATGTTAAGAACTGAATGGTAAATATTGAATCAAGGCCTGCTTGGTCTTTCATGTCCGTAAAGCACATATAGGTAAATTGAAAATGCGATATGTTAGGTTAAAACTCTATTTTCGAAAAAGATGTAATAGGGAAATTTTATTTTCATAACTTAAAAGTTAGTTCAATCTCTAATTACTTATTAATTATTGAAGCATAAATATTATAGCATGTAATTACAACATCTCAAGAGACTCTAGAAAAATGGAAATGCTCTCTATTTTAAAGAGTCAAACAGTTTACATTATGCTTTAAGATCATATTCGAGGAACTCTTCATTGATAAAGAGCATCTTATGTAAAATAAAAAAATACTTATAAATTTAGAGCATAATTTTTTTTATATACTCAGAATATGCTTTTCTATTTTACTCTTCATTTTAATTTTTGAAATAAATGTTTATTGATTTTTCATCATCTTTTATTTCACATATTATTTTAGATTCAACGACCAATCAATTTAAGAAAATAAAAAAAAAAATTGTAGCGTCTCAAATACTTATTGTGGTAGTAATATAACCACCCTTGAAATATTTTAAGAAATAGAGAATTGAAATATGATTTAATTTGAAAAATGATAAAGTGAGTAGTGAATAGCAAAAAAAACCCCTAGAAGGTGTTCATTTGCGATATACCCCTTGCCTATTGAAAATCGTAGAAAATCCTCATATTTAACATCTTTTGTGCGAAAAATCTCCTTACCGTCAAATTTGCCGTTAAAAATGGTAAAAATGTCAAATTTAAAATGTAATAATTGTAATTTTGGTATCCAAACTTTTATTTTTTACAAATTATACCCATTTTTTTATCTACCACATACGATCCCAAACTTTTAAAACTATATTTTCCGTCACACCCAGGGGCGAACCCAGCTCCTGGCGAGCCCCAGCGGCCGCCCGTGCTGAATCCGCTGAAACCTTCAAACTGTCGAGCGCCGCCGAGTGATTGTGTTGCAGAGGACGGAGAGAAGACAGGAAGAATAACTGATGAAGAAAGGAAGGGAGGTAAGTTTTGAGCCTTTTCTTGTTGGGTAATTAAAAAAATTTAGGCCTTTTTTTTAGTTTTAGCTCTTTCGTTTTGGACGGAGAGAATTGAGCCCATTTCAAAATTAGGCCCAAATCCCATATAAATGAAATAATATCCAATAAGCAATTATGCATTACAGCATTACTCCAAAACTCCTTGCCTTCACTCTTCACTTCTCCTTCTCCCTTACCCGGTTGTTGTGCTTCTGCTGCTGCTTACTGCCGGTAAGTGTAACTAGTACCTTGTCGGCTTTCCGTAATTCCGTTCCGTTTCTGACTTTTTGTTTCAATTCGTTTTTTTATGTGTGAATACATATATGAATTTGAAGAAAACAACAAGAATTAAGAAGATTAGTATTTCA